TTTCTCGTTTGATTATATACATAAAACATGCCTCATACATCACGTCCTAAATGTGTTGATTGTGAACGAGGCCTCGATTCAAATCAACTTCGTGAAGTTGGTGCTGGACTTTTGCGCTTGTTTTTGGCTGTAAGATTATCGAAGCATATTCGTTGTGATGATATGATTTGTCAGAAATGTCGTTCACAGTTTCTTAAGTGGCAACAAAAAATGGAAGGTGATTTTGACAACTACGATAATGTAGCTGAGTTTGATATGATATCTATGAATAATGATGATGATAGTGTAAGGAATAATATTTTTTTATATTGTTGATTATATGTGAACTTAATAGGTGATGAGTGTTGGTATTGGTAATGTTGCTACAATCTATTCAAATGCAAATATTGATATTCAACCTAATAGTATTAGTATTCCAATTTTTCGATGTTCCAAATCGCACCAGTAAGAACATTTCTTATACTTTCTAATAAAAATAGGCTTTTATTTTAGGTCTTGCGTGTTTTGTGATGAAAAAGATTCTTGTTCAGCAAAAGTTTTATCACGTATACAAAGAACAATCATTTTTTTAAAATGTGGCATATTTGTTGCACCAGGGTCTCGATGTTGTACAAGTCATTTGTGTGAAGATGAATTAACTATTAAATCATTTGATCATATTCATGTATCGAAACCTGATCGATGGAAAATTGGTTCAGATGAATTTCAAATATTTGTCGAAGATATTCGTATTGTATTATTTAAACAAAAAAAATTTGATTTCGATGATCCATCTTGCTTCAGTGACGAAGGTTATCAGGCTATTGTTGGATTAAGTAAAGGTATTTCAAGATTAATAATAATAGTTGAAATTGTATAAAATATTAGATGAAAGTTTGCTGACTCCACTTTTTCTGTTTGAAATATTGTAAATCAATCAAAACATATTTTAGTCCATTTGAAAGGAGAAATTAATATCAAACACCTGAGAATATAATATCTATGCTAAAGAAATTTCTTGATTATATTGAGAATAATTGTTTTATATATATTCTTATAATATTTTTTTAAGAACAATTTAACCATTTGGTTAATACAGTATCATCTATGCAAAATTCTCATGTAAGATCAGTACGTGTTGCTGTTGCTGTGTTTCTAGCAAAATTACGTTTGGGTTTAAGTAACCGAGTTTTGGCAGTTTTATTTAATCTTGAAAATAAAAGAGTTGTTTCTCACATCAACAATCAAGTCCGTAAAGCTTTAATGAAGGACTTTGTTCCTTATCATTTGGATTTAAAACATATTACTCGTGAAACAGCTATTGAAGAACATCAAACAACTATTGCTGCTATTCTGCATACTAATAAACCCGATCAACTATGTGTTATAGCTGATACAACTTATCTCTTTATACAAAAATCTAGTAATAATCAACTCCAAAGAAAGTCTTATTCAATGCATAAGCATAAAAACTTAGTTAAGCCTATGATTTTAACAACTACAGTGAGTCTATCATCTGTTACTTTTTCGTAATAGATGAGATTTTTTTCCTATAGGGTGTCCAGTAAATGACTAGAGTTAGAAAAAATTGCATATCTCTCTGCTACGGCTCGAGCAAACAGGCTGATTTTTCTACCAATAATAGAAGCATGTTCACACTTTAAATCCATACAGACAAGATTAGAAAGAGCCTTTGTTAAGTACCACCAACGACCTCAACAAAAAAA